TGTCATTTTCGCCCATGTCAAAAACCTTCGATTTCAAGGTTGGGAAACCGATCTCCAAGGGGATGATTGCCTGGATTCCGAAGCATAAAACAAATAGCGTTTCCTTAGTGGATTGCCTCGGAGTAGTGCAATGGGCCCACAGCACACTGGGCAACTCTTCAACCCATCTGCCTTTAGCTTTCTCCAACCTCTTCTTGATGCCGTCCAAAATAACCTTATTGGCGGCCTCCGCTTGACCATTGCTTTGGGGGTAAGTCGGCGAGGAAAAGTAAGGCCGGATACCATAAATGTTGCACAATTCTCAATACACACCACAGAGAGAGACTTTTTGTAGAGCTTCCCCTGCTAATCCAAATAGTATCGGAGGGCTCTGTTACGCAGTTTGTGCGCTTCTTTCTTATCCATCGGGAGCTGCTCTGAAGATAGGAATGCGGCGATAGGGTCCATCCAACTCGGACCTGGTTTGATAACGTTGACCTGAACTGATTCTGAAGAGGCTATGCTCTGCTCGGGGACGAACCCTACTTCGATTGTCCACTTAATTTCTTAGTTGATAGCAGAGGCTAAGCAAGCCAGGGCATCTGCATGCGTGTTTTGATCCCGGGTTATTTGATTCAGTTCATGGTGATCAAATTTTGAGAGCAAAGAATTCACCATTTTCATATAGGCCGCCATGCGGTCATTTTTGGCTGCATATTCCCCTCTCAACTGGTTGATTACTAGCTTTGAGTCACAGAAAACAAACAGATGCCGTGCACCGAGGTGAAGTGCATTTCGCAGGCCGGTCAACAGTGCTTCGTATTCGGCCTCATTATTCGATGCGTCGAATCCCAATTTGACAGCCTGTTCGAGTATTGCCCCTTCGGGGGTCATGATTACTACGCCAGCCCCACTGTCACGCTAGTTAGATGACCCACCGCAATACATCTGCCAAACGTCACCGACATATTATGATATCCCTGTTCCATAGTATGCTAATTGGTCCTTAATACGAATATGATTATGTGTTTGATATGATTTTGTGTGCCATTATGTGAAAATATGTGGTTTTGAATTTCTATCTGTTCACCGTAGGAATATCTGTTTGATTTACTGCCTTGGAATTTAAATTGAAGGCCTTATCGGCCATGAAACCCGAAATTGATTAAGCCATTGTGATTGGCTTAATTTTTAGAGCCTACGGTGAAATTTAATTGAAAATTGATTCGGATCAAATTAATCAGATTAAATTAATGGGTAAGTGCTCAATTATTTAACATTAAAATAATGTATTTGAGAGGGAGCTTTATAAAGGCCATTATATGTTCAATCCTTCTCTTTTGTTCAATATTTGGCTGATTTCAACTCCAAGAAAAGAGTGAGGGTCGGCTACAGAGAGAGAGGGGGAAGCAATTGGAGATTTGAACAAGGAACTTGAATAACTTGGAGATTCAACTAGAATTTGTGAAGAATTGAACCTCCAGGTAAGTAAACTCATGGATGTTAACTTGTAATTTTGTGAATTCAAGGTTGAATAATGATCAAGAGCATGAATTAAATTGATTATGATGAAATTGAGTTGGTTTTGTTGGATTGGAAGTCAATAGATGCATGCATGTAGGAAATTGCTATGAATTTCCATGTTTGAGCATAAAGTGTGTAATCCATGTTGAATTTTGGTTGAGTCCATGTATTTAATCATCTCTTCACCAACTAAGTTGAGAATAATGAGTATATCCCAATGCAAGTACAATTCATGGAGGTGTGAGTTTTGAATGTTTGAATTTAGCATGTTGGTGATGAGCTTGGGATAATTTGAGTCATGCGTGTAATTAATTTAAGGAATTGAGCTTCATAATGTTGTAATTTGTTGTTTGTACCAGTTAGTACATGTACATGTGAAGTTTGAGCCAAAAGCATGCAATTAGAGCCTTTGAATATCAATTTGAAGCTCAAGAACATGTTCTGGATTTTCCAGAAAACTTGATGTCCGCTCGAGCGAGAGAACCCCCGCTCGAGCGTGAAATTTGTGCTCCCAGTATATTTTTTTGCAGACAAGGTGTCCGCTCGGGCGGGGAAGTTGACGCTCGAGCGGGGAGCTATGTAGACAGACCTTCAGCTCGAGCGCCCGACTTCACGCTCGAGCGTAATTTTGATGCATCCAGTACTTTTGCAGACCTCATGGGTCCGCTCGAGCGGGGACCTTATTTTTGAAAATTTAAAAAAGGCATTCTGTGTTTCGTTTTCTATTCTCTTTCACTTCTAAGTACTCTTAGGTATACATTGAACATTGTAATTGAATTAAAGGGATAAGAATAAAGCCTAAAGAGGAATATGTGAATTAAAGAACGGACTGAATCATTTGTGACCCGTATGTGTTATGTGATGTGTAGGGTCAAGCTCCAGGGCAAATCAATCTACTGATCACTGTGAGTAATATCTTGACAAAGATATCTGAAATATGTTGTTGTCTAATTGCTTACTTCTATGTAAGTTTGTAAATTTGTTAAATTGATTAGTGGACAATGTTTGCTATGCCAAATGAATAGGCCAGAGGCCAGTAAGATTTGAATGGTAAAATGAATGGGCCAGAGTCCAGCATGACTTGAATGAAAGTATGAATGGGCCAAAGGCCAGTTTGACATGAAAATATGAATGGGCCAAAGGCCAGTTTGACAAGAAAGAATGAACGGGCCAAAGGCCAGTTTGACATGAAAGTATGAATGGGCCAAAGGCCAGTTTGACATGAAAGTATGAATGGGCCAAAGGCCAGTTTGACATAAAAGAATGAATGGGCCAAAGGCCAGTTTGACATGAATAAATGAATAAATGGGCCAGAGGCCAATACGATTTGAATGGTAAAATGAATGGGCCAGAGGCCAGTATGATTTGAATGAAAGAATGAATGGGCCAGAGGCCAGTTTGACATGAATGAAAGACAAATGGGCCAAAGGCCAGTTTGACATGAATGGATTGGGCCCGAGGCCATCCAAAGTGTTTGGAATCAAAGTTACTTGATCCATATCTATTTATGCACTAGGTAGAAATATGAATTGGGCCTAAGGTCGTCCGATGTATATTGTTACAATGCATCTTCTTTAATTGATATTATTCATTGGGCTTTGGCTCACGCTCATTTATGTGTTTGTAGGTGAGCCAAGAGCGGTCCAGACCCAGCCTCAGTGAAGTCTTTGTGAAACAACCAAGGTTATGAAGAGTCAGCCCTTGCATCTCACGCACGAGACTCGTCTTTGCCGGTTTGTTATGTATTTATATTTTGTCATGTTGGCGAAGACTTTGAATATGTTGTACATAGTTTCATGGGTTGACTTAGACTTTAATGATCCTATTTGTACAGAACTTCATGTTACTGTGTTTTCTGTTGTGAGTTATTAATATGTCTATGTATGGTTTGTTATGATGTGCCATGTAAGCACAACTCTATGGACAAAGATTTAAATTTTGCTTCCCTTTGGCCCCCCCTTTCCTCTGATGAGTTATGTCCGGTTTGGTTTGAGGTCGTAGGTAATCTCATGATTACTGGTCGGTTATGTCCTTAACCCTTTGGGGCAGGTTCTAGTCATGACACATACATTCTCTAGTTGGGCTTAGTTTGCACTTGATCAAACTTAAAGTCGGTGAGGGATTTTGTGAATTCAGCTACAAAGTCAGCAAGCACTTGCCCTTTGATGGAAGTTCTGGGTACAAATTGGATATCATAATGGCCGAGTTCAAGAGCCTATTTCGAAATGTGCCCCAACACTTCCATGCTACGGAGCGCTGACCGGAGGGGATATTCCGTTGGCACCCCAATGGTATGCCCCTAAAAGTAATGCATCAGTTTTCTTACAGCCATGACGAGAGCAAGGATAAGCTTTTCTAATGGAAGGCAACGTGTTTTGGCATTGGCCATAGCTTTTGCTCACATAGTAAACTGGTCGCTACTCCCCAAGTTTTTCCCTTAACAGTACGGGGCTGACCGCCCGGTCGGATACTGCCAGATACAAAATGAGTGGATCGCCGGCTGCAGGTGTTGCCAAGAGTGGTACTAATTGGAGATAAGACTTCAGGCCATCCAAAGCGGCCTGGCACTCGGGAGGCCAATCAAATGCTCTGCCTTGTTGAAGTGTGTGGAAGAATTGTCGGCAGCGATCTACGGAATGGCTGATGAACCTGTTAAACCCGACGACCATTCCCATTAGCTTCTGAACCTGTTTGAGTGACCGAGGGGACCCAAGCTCTAGAATTGCCGTGATTTGCCTTGGATTGACTTCAATTCCGCGGTGATTAACGATGTAGCCAAGGAATTTGCCGGACCCGATGCTGAATGCACACTTAGATGCGTTCAATTTCATCTTGTATTTTCGAAGAATGTCGAACGTTTCTGACAAATCGGCTAGATGGGAGTGCTTTTCCTTGGATTTGACCACCCGATCGTCGATGTATACTTCCATGGTACAGCCGAGTTGTTCCTTGAACACGGAGGTCACTAGTCTTTGATAAGTTGCCCCCGCATTCTTCAGGCCAAAAGGCATGACCATGTAGCAATAGGTTCCTCTTGGGGTGAGGAATGCGGTTTTTTCTTGATCCTCTAGATGCATGACAATTTGATGATAGCCTCTGTAGGCATCCAGGAAACTCATGCGTTGATGATGTGCCATTCCATCTATGAGTTGGTCTATTCTGGGCAGAGGGAAACAGTCCTTGGGACAAGCTTTGTTCAAGTCCGTAAAATCCACACATACACGCCAAGAGCCATTCTTTTTCTTTACGACCACAATATTGGACAACCATGTAGGATAAGTTACTTCGCGAACCGCCCCGGCGTCAAGTGACCGATCTACTTTCTCAATGACGGCCGAAGTTTGCTCCGCGGCTGACCGCCGGCTTCTTCGAATAACTGGCTTGCATTTCGGATTGACATTCAAGCAGTGTTGGGCCACTGATGGGTCCACTCTTGGCATCTCATATGGTGACCATGCAAATACATCAATATTGCCGAGTAAGAAAGCTACCAACTCCTATCTTTCGACTTTATCCAAGGAAGTGCCGATCATGAAGAACTTGTCAGGATTTCTGTCAATTTCGACCCGATGAAGGGCTTCGGTTGCTTTGTCACTAGGGATCTTCCCAATATCTTCGAGGCTCTCCCTATCTGATACCTCAATTGAATGCACTTCTAGTTCATTTGGTCTCTTTCTAGCTAGAAGATTGCATGCCTGCGCTGATTTTTGAGAGCCGTGAATTTGTTTGACACCGTATTCAGTCGGAAAACGAAGCAGTTCGTGGTAGGTGCTTGGCACGGCTTGCATCGTATGTAACCAAGTTCTTCCCGTGATCAGATTATACAGCGAAGGAAGCTTGACCACCAGAAAAGCTACGTCTACTGATCTGGTGCCGGCCCGTACTGGCAGTGTGATCCTTCCCAAAGGATACTCCGGGTTAGCATTGAAGTCGAACAAAGCGTAATCAGCCGGAGACAGGTCCGAATCGGTGAAACCAAGTTTGACAAAACTTTTACGATACATTATCTCTGAAGTGCTGCCCTGGTCAATGAGAACATGCTCAATGATGAATCTGTTTACACGCAGCTCGATGATGAGGGGATCAGTGTAGGGGTGGTGCACTCCAACTAAATCACTGTCATCGAAGCTGATCCTTCTGGTGTCGTATGGCCATTTTGCTAGTATCAAAGGGCTATGGGTGCTAGATAGCAACTGGATTGTGTGCACCTTGGGTGGCGCCGGCAAGCTGTACATCATATGAACTACACCAAGATGAGGCAACTCCGGCCGTAGGGCTACAGTATTTATTGAATTGTTCTTTCGAACGTATTGCGTAAGATGACCGTCTTGCTTCAACTCTTCAAGGTGATCTTTTAATGAATAATAACTATCGGTGTCGTGACCATGGTCTCTATGATACTCACACCATTTATCCTGTTTTCTGGCATCAAGAGGTCCCGTCATCTTAGGTGGCCACTTGAAGTACAGAAGGTGTTGTACTTTTGATAGAATCTTATTGATCGGCTTTGTCAGCTCCGTGTATTTCCTACCTGAACGCCTTGTGTGCCTGTTATTCACTTGGTATTGTTCATTAGCTCGTTGTGGACATTGGTCGGTTGATCGGCATGAATCATGCCTTTTGTCTCGTTTAGGTCGATTCCGCCGCTTGGGGCTTCTTGGTGGCACGACGCTAATCGGCTGAACAACTCCCTACGTGGCCGTCTCAACAACTTTACGTCCGGCTTTGACTCGAAGGGCATCATCTTCCACTTTGCAGTATTCTTCAACCTTCTTAATTAATGCCCAGACAATTTTGGGGGGACGCCTGGTCAATGAACTGAGGAGGAGGATATCAGGATGTAATCCCATCTTAAAGGCGGTGATGGCCATGGAATCATTGCAAGCATCATCAACCAGATTAAAGCATTACCAATAGCGGGCTGAGTATTCACGAAGAGTTCCGGTTTAATTTGCATGGCCCAGAGAGAGTCGGCTTGCTTCGGTTGGACCTCATTAGTGATGAATCTCACCCTGAATGACTTTTGGAGTTGGTGGAAGCTCTTAATTGATGTCAGCTCCAATTTATAGTACCACCTCACGGCCAGTGGCCCCAGACTGCTTGGAAATATCCGACACGTGAGGGCTTCGTCGTCAGCATAGAGCGTCATCGCTTGCTTGTAATGACGAATGTGATCAGTGGGCTCTGATTTTCCGTCGTAGAGGGTGAACAATGGTGCCTTGAACTTCTTGGGTAGCACAACCCTGGCAATTCATCGCACGAATGAGTCATGTTTATCTTCCTCATCCGAATCATTGTTTTTCCTTCGTCTGTGCCGTACATATGGACTTCCTTCAGACGAGCTGGATACATTAGCGCGCCCTTTATTTCTGGGCTCCAGGGATGGTGAGTCTGAATCACTATCATTATTGCGTTTCTGAAGTCGACGTCGGCGACCATCCTTCTTTCCCGAAGGTCGACCCTAGTCTTGGCATGCGGCTTGTTGGGATTTTGCCACCTCTAAGGCCAAATCCTGGCATAGGCACTCATTCTCAGCCATCACATTCTCCAGCCGCTGTTCACTTTGCTTTGCCTGATCCATAATCATCTGGATTATCTCATGCATTGAAGTTTAGGGTCAGGTCTGAGCTACTGAGTCAAAGTTCAAGGCAGGTCACACGGCGATATTCTCCGGTCCCAGCATATTTCTTGGAGTGAGGTCATCTCTTGGTGTAGTTTCGTTAGTGACTATCGGGGGATCTTCCGTTACGCCCGCCATGGACGTACTTGAGTATTCCCATAGACGGCGCCAATTGGGTGAAGTGGTTTGGAAATACTCTTGGATCCTGAAGGACGTCCTTGATCCTCTGATTGCCACCTAAAAGGGATTAGCACTCCGGTCGGGGGTCCCGGAATTAGCACTCCGATGGACAAGTTAGTATATGTCTCACGTTTGCTTATGTGTTAAGTTTCTTGGGGTTTTCTCTCGCATACCTTTCTTTGGCTGATGTTGCTCTATTTATATTCGCTTCCGGGCCTTAGGGTCGGGCCCACTCTTAATCCATCATGTGATTGTTCACTCGGCCCCTTCTGTTATATGCCAATTCCCACTCGGCTCCTCGCTCAACTGGTTCTATGGACGATTAGGATATTCGGCATCTGGATCGTACAAGACTGGGCTGAATATAATATATATCCCAATTTTCTAAGTGTGTACTCGGCCTCTCTGTATCCCCTGATATTCAGCTCCCACATTTGGTTTAGGGTACAATCAGATGTTAATTGAACCCTTGAGTCTTGAGTCGTTTCACACTCATTAGTGATGAAAATGGTTCAGGATTCATTGTCAAACTACTTCCCTTGATCTTTCATGATAGGGAGGTGGTTTTGAGAGTCATGTTTTGTTGTATTCCTGGAACTTGCACACTTGGTTTCATAAGCCATCATGCAATGCAATTGCATCCATTGGTGGTTTGTGAAATCAAACTTACTACTCCTTTGAGATGTTCAAATGATAAGGAGGGGTGAGTTGTGCAAACAAACCCTTGAGAATACACTGTCTCTGCTTTGTTTGCTCTCTATTGCAGCAGGAAGTCTAGGCACCAGTGGCTGGCAGGCCACCTTCAGTGGCCGGCAGGCCCTCTGTCGGCCACCAGTGCAAAATCAAGAAGTGTCATTTTAAAGTAGAACAGAGTTGGTTTGGAGGTGGAAATCAGTGCAAATGTTCTACTATGTAACAGAAACATTCAGTAGCAGAAACATAGGTTTTTTCGGGTCAAAACTGCATTCATGCATGAGCCTTCCATCGATCCTCGAGATCCGTGTTGTAAATATATTAGTATCGTGCTTAACATAGTGGCTTTGTAATTAATTATTTAGAATAGTTGATTCGTCTCTTGTTGTAATTATTTTAATTAGCTAGATTAGTTAATTAATTAGTTCATTCAGTTTGTAATAATTAGTTAAGTGGTTTCGCTAAATTATTCATTTGTTGTTGTAATAGCGTGGTAATTAGTCAGCTAGTTAATTAATTTATTGATTCAGACCCTCCTGTATGAGGGCACAATGTTGTAATAATGTGTATATCTTCCAACCCCACGTCTTTGTCCCTTTTATTTAATTGCTTACGATGGTTAGATTAAAACATCATATTTTGTTTAACATTCTCCATGCTTGCATCCACTTGTTTTGCATGCACCGAGGCTCGGTTCATCATTCTAACTTTCATTGATAGTTTAACGCTTCTTTGATATGCACTTAGACCGCATGCTATCAAATTGCTTCACATATCATGTTAAGTAGTCGAGCCTAGTAATTGCATATCGCATGTGTTGCATTAGTCATATTGCATAAGTTGGGATCATGCATCGTTCTAACTCTCTCATCTTTTTTGGCTTGGAGTACTAGGTGAGCTTTTACTCACTTTAGCATAATGCAAGTTGTTGTTGCCATGTCTAGCATGTTTGCCATAAGGCTAAGTGCTTAATTGATAAATTGCCTGAATGGTTGTGGATGAAGGCTAGTTGCTTGGATTGGAATAATTTGAGTAATGTTCTTATGCGATCACTTTTTCAAGTGATACATATTCGAAGCAATTTTCAAAAGAAACATGAATCGAAATGCTCCAATTCTTGCAATTTAGTCTATACTTGTGTGTGTGTGCACATCACATAGTAATGCTAGCCTAATAATCAGAATAAGAGCATATAATGTAGATAAGATTCATATCATGATTAGTAGAGGCCGATCTTTGATTGGTCGAGCGGGGGTGCTCAACTCATGACCTTCCCCTCTCATACCTAAGTTCTCGAGCTGAGACAATCTTGGTGATGACGGACACGTGGCCTTTGGCACGAGCCATGGGTTTCCTAAATTTTTCAAAAATATTTAGGTGGCGACTCTATATCTGGCAAAGCAGCCCATTTTTGGCATTTTGTTTTATTCAATATCAATTTTCCAAAGGATTTGTCGGATTAGGACTCTTTGGTGTTTATCTATTTCACATTACACTTGTAGAAATAGATGCAGAACCGCGGGAGTCCGATACTGTAGGGCTTATTCGTCTTCCGAATGGGGACACGAAAAAGTCGAGCTACAACTGTGCATAACGATTGAACACAAAGTCAATAGAATTTTAGGCTTATCCTACCCACTTGGGTTTAGGAATTGCCATCTTTTGCACGACACCCCCACATTTGTAGAATTTGAATGAAGTCTTTCAGCTTTCCAATAATTCATACAGGGTCTTTAAACAATTCATTGTGTCACAATGATCATGAAACTCTCAAAATCATATCACATAAAACATATTCTCAGAACTTCATCAATCGAATTAGGTCTTTCCCAAATTCAATGCATGAAACAAGTTTGGTCCAACAAGTCACTTTGAAGTCAATAGCCTCACTATTAAGAAACACAAATCCAGTGCTCAATAATCTACTATTTAGAACTTTATAATATAGCCAATAGTCTTATCACTAGGAATCGCTAATTTCTCAGCATGTGATTAGTAGACTTTTCACTACTAGGAATCACAATATCTTGACATGTGATCAATAGTCACTACGCTACTAGAATCACAATGTCTTGGCATAGGATCAGTAGACTCTTTCATTATTAGGAATCGTTAAGTCTTCATATATAATCAGTAGACTCTTTTATTACTAGGAATCATCATGTCTTAACATGTAATCAGTAATTTGTTCACTATTAGGAACCACAATCTCATAACTGTATAGCCAGTGGTCTAACACCTCCTAGGAGCCATCAGTTTCCTATTTCTGTGATAAGTGATCTTGCACTCACTAGGAGCCACAAATTTAACAATATATTCAAAATTATAAAAATTCAAAAATTACATTCACCCACCCTAGCAGGTTGTTTCATCTTTGCTAGTAAAGTCACATAGCAATCATACATGCTATAATTGGCATAAGGATAACATATTAATTGCCTATGATTAATTCAGAGATACTATTATGCAATCTTATGATTTCCTCTAATCATGCCTGATCTCTCATGATCTTCCTTTAAGAACCTCGCAAGGCTTAATGTTGTAAGTTGGAATAACATTTTATGTCGTCACCTCTTAAAGCTATTTCTAAAAACTACAACAGAATTTCAACTATTATGTTTCTCTAGAAAACAAACTAATAGTAGGAAATCCCAAAATACTGAAAATTAATTCAAAATTAATCTAATCATTAACTCCATAAATATAACAAGGTCAGGAAAGTTTCTAAAAAGACTGGATAGGCCACACTGGTCCTACTTAAAACCCAATTAACTTTAGGCCAAACTTTCAAGAGCTTGTCGGCTTGTTTTCAGTGGGAAATAAATTCAGAATTAAGTTTCGAGGGGATAAACCAATTTAAAATAAAAAATACAAAGAAAATAAAAACAATTCCTAAGAAAATAAAAATTGCTACAAAAATTACACCACTCATAAAAGGTAAGCAGTACTCCC